ATACCTCTGACTACTACTGAGTTGCTACCCTCCCGGTGGGAATAACTGTCGACCTCTTAAGGCAACGGAAGAAGCCAGTCATCGGGTGCCAGTGCCGGGTGCAAGCCATGTTCTATCCTCGAACCTGACTGGTGCAGAACTGCCCTGCGAAGCGCTGATTAGTCGGCTACGGCTCTGACTGCTACCGCAGTGTAGGTATGCAGACCAATGAGAAATGGGTGGCAAGTGCACTGGCTTCGAACTGTTTCTATTGCAACTTAGTGAACTGGGCCTCGTGTGTATGCCTAAGATTAATGTTGCTGGCTTACGCTGCTCTGGGCACCGTGCTTGTCATGGCTTTGACTTGCAAAAAATCAAATACTTTGCCGTCAGTGCGATTGGACGGTTACTAATAATAATAGCCGTTCGACATGAAAGGCGACAAATAATTGCCGGGAATTAATGTGAATCGAAGTAGGACCTTCCGTTTATCCTAATTTCAAACCACCTAATCTACTAACTTTTGCAGTTTGTAAAACCAAATGTGTAATATGTAAACATACAGCTAACTGTTAGGCTTGCTGATTAAATGGGGATACCGATAGCAGACATTAAAAGAAGCAGAAAATGATGCGTTTGAGATTTTTCCCCTAACATATACTCAAAATCTGTCGTAAGTTTCGTTAAAAAGGTAACCGCCAAATGCTGTTACCTTTCTATTGTTAAAGGTGTGAAGTTTTTTTATAAGAAAATACTTAATGTATTTGCAGCAGTAAAGCACTCACTAGAAGCGGTTTAAGACGGGCTGGAAAAGGATTTTGCGGTGTACCAAACATTTTTTGGTGCTTGTCGAAAAACTGCTCCGCCGCTAAAAGGCTCCCATTTGACAATACGTTAAAAAACCGAAGCTTAAGAACGAATCTCGATGTCTTTTTTTCGGTCGCGGTGTCTAGCACCACGCACCAGTGATTGGCAAACGATTCCAACTGTGTGTATGCGCACATTTGCGGGAAAAAAATTGATCAGGCTTGTGGAAGAGGGAAGCTGTATTAATGACCCGTACGGACAGATAACCACCTCGATGCAATTGCCATCTGCATATAGGGGCTGCTCTTTGCACCTATCTATTTACCAAACCGTTGCTAGTCACCAACACTCCAAAATCAAACGGATGTCACAGGATGATCGTAATGTCAATCATGGTTTTGGGCGATAAACGCGTTATGTAAATGCCGCTTTTTAATACCGAATAGATCGAGTTTATTCGGTTAAAAATTTACATATTCTAACTTCAGGTACTTTGATATATCTTAAGCTATTACAGACTGAAGCTGTTACATGCGTGCAATCGCTTCGTCAAACAAAGAATTTATTTTTCAATAACCGTAAACCAGGGTAAGCAACATGCCAAAAGCCATGCAACTTACCCAACTTACAAATGTGTGCAAATAAACAAAAGTTAAATTTTTTTGGCGACAAATTATCGCACCACACTCACACTTTCAATGTGCATACCACTACTACGGAAATACTTACCAAATAGCCGGATATGACTTTATCTGTGACTTTTGCATGTATCCACAGACGAGTTTTGTGGTCTAAATTCAAGGGGAAAACGTAACCGCCTTATTTGTTGGACAGTTTTTAACATCATTGGTCCCATACAAAATCAAAGGTTTCAACAAATAAAAAAGGAAAAACGGGCTTTACTGTGGCAACAGATGTCTCAAACCGTCCGGTCGGTGCACGCATGCGTAAATATTTTGATCTCTATTGTTGTCTTACTTCGAAAAAATGATGAAGGTCATGGACCTACACCTGCAGAATACCTGACCAAAATCTGGTTTTAAAAAAGGACGGCTTATGCAGAGTCCTTTTTGGTCCTATGCATGTTGACCGCAAGCCTTCTTAGTTAACGGCTACAAGAGTCGCCGGTTATTAAGCCCACGGCTAATAAGCCCAGCCGCGTATTAAGCCC